TAAGGCTGGTGCTCGTAAAACTGGGACATTAAGGTTGCTCAGACTATACAATCTCCGCAAAAAGTTATGCGTATCCTAATCAAAGTATATTCTTCAACTTTACTATGTACGTACAAAGGAATATTATAAGCGGAATATGCAGAAAAGTCAACCATCATATTCACATCCCACTTCTTTAGGGACTTAATTTCTGTTTATATAAAATTTAGTTAAGAATTAATCGCCAGTTGCTAATTACTGTTCAATTAAACTAAAGGTTTAATCGCAACCCTTACCATATTAAGGGAATGTAATAATTTTTCTAACATACACTAATACAAGAGAGATTATGAAGAAATTTCAAGAGGGGGAAATAGCGTTTGTTCGAGAATCGATTCATGGGCTGGCCGGTTGCTATAAAAGAGACTTTAATTCGGACATCGTGACTAAACTGGTTTGGCGGAGCTTTGAAATGTAGGGAAACGCGAGATCTCGGCGCTTGTGCCCGCGAGGGCTTCTGTAACTGGCCCCTCTTAAGGTAGCAATCGACCCTCGATAAATCTCCGCCAATCGGATGGAAACGTCACACAGGCATTATGGGGATTCTACGGTGGATTACGAGTTATTACATGAATCACCCCGTGATCCAACGGGACACCTAATAAACGAATCTCGCCTAAATACGATCGAGTATTTCACGTCACGGAACATCCCTACTTTTGTATAATTTCATGCTAATTGGTACGTGCGCGTACATACGAATGGAATGGACAGACCTTTTAGGCTGATAATATATGAATTTTAAATTTCTCCTTGTTTGAGAAAAAACAGGGGATGGCGATAAGATGATGAAACTCGAGGAATCGAGACAGGAAAGTACACTAGGGAAAGGATTAACTAAAGGAGTTGTGTGCGAAGCAAATAAACCACTTGGGAGCTACTTTCTGACTCCGTATAACTTTCAAAGGGTCCTCTGAGAAGTGGAAAAGTTCTATTCACCTGTTTTGGAAACAAAATGAACTAAAACTCTTGTCTACTTACTGTTGGGTATCAGTACGAATGAACAAGTGCCGCATCATTGTATAAAAATCATACACATACGTAATAAATCATACAAGACAACACCCGGTAGATCAGCTAAATTGAATCAATTATGGCTTATTGAATGGCTTATTTGTTGTTTAATGAAAAAAACTTTTCAATGGACAGTTGCATTGTTCCAGAAAGTAGAAGACGTAATTTCGGTTCGAGGAGTTCGATCCGACCTTTTAAATTATACAGATGCGAATGTAAATTAGCCTCGGTGATAACCGTGCGGCAGATAAGAATATATTTAGGATGTAACACGGCCCGCATTTCCGTGGCCTGGACAGATAAGTCGGACTGAAATTGAGCGGTTCTGTTTTTCCCGAGTGTGTTGACCGCGCGCGCACGTATTCAAAGAGCGAGGCCAACGATCGACCAAAGAGACGAATCGTCAATTAACATAATTGATGTTAGCGAGTACTACGACCGCTGGTGTGCGTCGATGATCGACCAATTTGTGCTTCACCTGCACGGGCCACATGGAGACGATTGTCGCCACACCGACGCCCGGTGAACCTCCTGATGAAATTTAAACCTGGGCATACCGAGCGCGCGTGCACACAACTCGCAATTAATCGAGCGGACATCGTCCGTCGACCGTATTGCGCGCTTTCGTCGTTATTCATCTTGAAAATCAAAAACGATGAAAAAGCGGAATACCAGAAAACGTTGGAATGTACAATTTTAACGTGAGTAATGAATTTTTATATAATGGTAGATAATCTAGATATTAGTTGTAATGGATGGTTACATAAAGTGAAAGAAAATTGCAGAAACAGAGATTGAAATAATAAAGATAACGAGAATTGTTCATCATTTAGATTAACTCCATCGTCCCGAATTCACCGGTTCCGTTTCACCGTCATTTTCACGCGGCAGATGCTGCAATCAAATAGAAATTAAGCTCTCAAAGGGATCTGGAATAAACAAGCAGATGGACGACACTGAAACAAAGAAGTGTAAAAGAAGGGGATGATCGCAACGAAACGAGATTTGAGGGAAAATCACCGGTTACTCGCAGCCGTGGATCGTCGATCGATCGATCGGGGATTAACGGACCGATAAAGTGCTAGGAGTGCGCAAATCACCGGTTCTCCAACGGAGAACCGTAGAGAATGACCGCAAACTACCAATCATAGCGTGCAAGAACGCGTACGAGCCGCCTTGGTGCACACATGTTCCCATTAATAGAACATCGTCTCCGTGTAGTACGTATTTTAAGGTGCGTTTAAACCAAGTGAGGTCAGAGACAGAAATTATATTGAAAGGGTCGAGCCTATATGTTAGCGAAATGAGACGTAGACTTGCTTGGTCTAAAGACACCTTTAAGCGTCAGCAGTTCATTGAGTCAGGCCTAAGTACAGCGCATACCAGTGCATCGAGCGCATGTGCCTGATGCGTCATGGGCACGGGTCTCGCTCTCTCCTTTTTCCTCCTTTGCCCTCCGTTCGCGTAACATCCGTATGTACATACTTCCGTACGCGTGAAACATGGACTCCCTCCTATATGGCAGCACGTATGAATGAAAGAGCGGCGAACGAAGAGAGGAGCGAAAAGAGTCGCGTGACGGATTCACGTGTTCCGCGTCTATCGACCGAACCTGTCGCCTTCGTGTCCATTTTGCAGGTGACAAACGACTGGAAACTTACGCCGAAATTAATACCGGATGGGACAAGCAATTTCAAACCGAGGAAATTCTATTTCACTGTACTTGAAGAATTTTTTATTAATATTCTATAAGGAAAGTGTAGACGTTCGTTTCGTTTGGTTTGAAACGTTTAAAGTTTCATAAGTCAGAGAATTGTTATAGACTACAATGAAAAGGAGATCGAGAGATTCAGATAACCAAGGATCTCGAGGTCTGCAAATAGATAACACGGATAGCAGAGGGATCGTAGGGGACGATCAAGATCTATCTGTCAGATACAATTTCCATTGGGGGGTTCGTATCGACGATCTCTTCTATAATTTCTGTACCCATCACCGTATCTTGATCTGTTTGTACACAAACGGTGGAAAAAACGTAATCACCATTCATACAAGTGTCGCCAGGAACCGAACGTGGAGAAGTGCGTACGCCGTACACGCCAAGTGCTCGCGGTAAAGGATGGAAAGGAGGGACTTACTCACTGTACAGCGGCGTGTAGTGGTAGAGAAGCGAGGCCGGAAGTGGTTCCATCTGGCTCCCCCGTTGGTCTGACCTGTTGAACCACCTCGTGACCGGAAGTATACCATACACCTACCTACGGGCACCATGGTCGTCTCTCGTACCCGTGGTACACGCCACGGAAACAACAAAGGCTTCTTTCTACTCCGTGACACCTTATCACTACCTATAGCCCTGTTTACTCCGGTCACACCGACATGATTTCGTCCTTCTGTCAGTACACATCCTCGTTTCCTCCCTTATAAACGGCTCTTTCAACGAAACAGATTTCGTTTGAACCAAGAAAAATTGTAACCATTACTTCGAAAGTAATTTCAGAACTGTGAATGTGTACAAGGTTCGCGTAGCAATAATATGTCTCTTGGTATTCCTAAGGATCAACTCAAGTTAATATCGTAATGATATCAAGAAAATAAATGCCAAGCGAGACGATAAGGCAATGGACCGAGGGAATTTTACGAGCGAAACAGTTAGTTCGCGGGCCATAATGTTGAATTTACGATTGCACCCAGGGCACTTTGCTGGGACAGGCTGCGAAAACTAAATAAAGAGTCTGTGGAGGGGAACGGAAAGTGCGACTCGCGTCGGGGTATAATCGGGGGGAGACTTCGATTCGTGCCTGAGACAGGTCCAGGGCATTATGTTCCGTGCACAAAGGCTCGCGACGTGCAGTATGTGCACCGTAATAATCTGTCACCCTGTACACTGTGCCACGTATACGTATACATATACTCAGACACTTTTCGAGGGGTCGAACAAGGGGTGTGGCGTTCAACGCACCCCATCAAGTCTCGCAATGGAGTGACGTCAAACCGGTCTAGGAGAGATTTTCGCGTATCACGGCGAAGAAATGTTCGCCAAAAGTTTTCGGGTGAAGAGTAATTTTTTAAGACCTTGATAAGCCAAATTTTTAATTTTTATTAGAAATGAACGAAATTGATCGATACATGCTTAAGTAGTCATTTCAGTGTGGAAGGATCACTGAATCATGTCCTACAGCATAATTTCCTCTAAGGCAGAACGAGGACCAACCCCTCGGTATAATCAAATTAACGGGTGCAGCGGCCGGTGTACAGCCGAGGCGTGTATCGCGACTTAAGCGATTCGGGCCGGCAACTCGCTCGCTCTCTTATTCTCGTGCAGCGCGTTTCGCGCCGCGTAAGAAGCGTAATACGCTTAAAAAGAAAGGTATGACGTCACTTTGGAGATGGCACGCGGCGCGTGCCGTAGGATGGGGTACGAGAGTTATCGTGGCTCGTGGAACAGAGACGAGAGACAGGAGCAGGGGAGTGTAACCGGTGCAACGTCGGGAGGTCGAGGGGAGGCATAAGGGCAGAAAATGGAAAGAGGAGGACGAAGAGTACGCGGCTAAGCAGCCAAAAGGGGGTGAGGCGGAGGACGACAGGAGAGAAAGAGGGAAGACAGGCGCCTCGAGGAGTCTACAACAGACAAACAGGCAGGCAGGCGAGCAGGCAAAGCGAGCGGGCAAGAAGTCCGCACGAGTGCGGCTGGGATGTCGTACAGGGGCCATGGTACAGTGGCGTGGTGGGGGTGGGCGCGTGCAGCCGGCCTGCGCCTGCAGCTGCCTCTTTTACCATCCCCTTCCTCCTGGTGACCCCTTGCCCAAGTTTCCCGTACCCCTCTAGAGCTCCACACGACGTGCCACCGGCGCAGCCGCTACCCACCACCCCTCAACGTTGGCCAACCCCTCCCTACGGGGGCCCGGCGGGACCACAATTATAAGTAGGGGTGCTCCCGGCTTACTACCTCCAGTCGAGGGTTGCACGCCGTGGTGTAGACGCGCGGACACGTAACGCGTCGTTCCATAGTTGGAAGCGCACGCGTGTAGCGTTCAAACGTTCAAACGGCAACAACGGAGTCTGTAGTTTGTCACGCTTCGCTATCCAAGGATAATTCTCGTTCGCTCTTTCTATCCGTCTTGTCGCAGAGTCGGAGAAACGGAGATAGATAATTGAGAGCATTATAGAGGTAGCTTAGAGCACTCAGTTCGAGGCATAGCTCTTCCACGCGATTATCACGCGAAACCAACCGAAGATCGGACTCGCCATCTGCCGATCGCGCGCTACCAGTGTCTCGTGAACAGTTAACAGTGGTTCCCGGAGAGTGGCGCTAGTGTTGCCTGTTAGTGGCGCGGAACTGTACGATATATACAACATATACACACGTTCGAGGGAACGAAGGATAGGTGTACGAGTTTAACGAAGAACACGCATCGAAGCGGGATCTCTCTGTGTACGAACGTATACGCACACGAATTGGGACGAGTACTTTCACAAAGGAAAATACGGACGCATCTCTGAATCCAGTAATATTTCAGCTACGGAGTACTAGTGCTTCTCGTACCGGTTCTCTCTACAGTGTCTGTCCTTCTTCTACGTCCATTCCCGAAAACGGTTTTCCCTCTGTCGGGTTACGAACCCGCAAGCACATTGACTTTCCCGTTCGACTTTGACTCGTCGCACACGCCTAAGGTATCTCCACCTTCGCTTCTTCACTACCACCATCGCCCATTCGACCACCACCCTTCTCTTCTTCCTCCTACTCTTCTTCGTCCGCCACCACCACTGTGACCACCACCACCGTCACTTCTCTCGTGGTACTCTTACCGGCGATCGCCGAGGGAATATTCCTCACGGTTCGTCGACGGCCAGTCAGTGCGCGGCGACTCGTCGTTGTTACGACGGTTGGCGAGGAGGAGAGTGTTGTATACGTGCCTTTTTCGTGGAAAATTATGCTCGTGGCGGATCGTCGTGCTCCTCGTCGACGTAGTGGCTCGTGTACCGCGAACGAACGCTCAACACGAGCGTAGTTTATCGGATCTTTTTTTTTTAATACATCGATCGAGCTTCGAAGAGCTGACGGATAATAACCGAAGTTAAGATAATTTAAAGAAGTCACCGAGATTCCCACGGTTGGAGGCTGAGGGATAAGAAAACCCCAGAGACGCAGATACACTTTGAAGTATCGTCTAAGGAATAGACACAGTAAAAAGAGAGAGGCGTCGCTTGGAGGATCAGCGAAACCAGTGTGTCTTTCATAGATCCTACGCGCAACAGTATTTCCATCCCGCGAAACCCTGTTGGACGAAGCTGTTTTACGACCACGTTCGGTGTCCCACGGATAATGGAATAAAGTGTGTCACACAGTGTTCAGTGATCGCGCGTGATTTTCTGATAATCATTTCTCACGGCAACCGGTGATAACATCCTTCCCATCGGATATATGGAAATAAATGTATAAATATACGGCAGCATCATTTCTTCATTCTTAGTGTTCTTGAATACAGTGTGCTACGGACCAGCGGAGAGAAGTGACCGCGTCAAGTCATCCCGCGAGTTAGCTTACGTTCGATCAATCGATTTCGATTTTCCCAATCGTTCACGTTTTATCCGTACCGGTTTCCCGCGCGAGAGAAATACGGAACGCATTCGTCCGGGCAAAGGTTCCGTTTTGTACGATTAGACGAGGATTAATAACGTGTGTCGGTGGTCTCCGATACGGTAGCCGGTAGGTACCACTCAGAGGTACGGTGGCTATGCAGTCTCGCGAAACTACGGCGAGGAGGTAACGCCGACCAGCACGCCAGAGCACCACGGTCCACACACTTCCGCCGACAAAAGCACCCGGCGGCGTGTAAACATCGAACGAAACAACGACCAAACATGTGGACCACGATGCTCGTGTGGACGGCCGCCGTCGTGCTTCTTCCAGCACCCCGAGCGGTAAGTCTTTTATTATTTTGTCGGTTATTTTCCTTCATCATCTCCACAGTATAATGCGAATACATGCGAGACTAAATAGCCCTAAATAACTCTTTCTGCGAACTTAAACCAAGAATATTCGCCACGTGCTTACGTGTATTTTGAATTCAGACAAGCTTTAAACCCTGCAAATTCATGTTTACCTTTACCTACTCGAATACACGATTGATAGTAATTTTATTGACAGTATACAACATTGAAGGATTGTATAAATTCGAATTCTAAGAAGTACGTATTACAAAGTAGGTTTCCTTGTCCAGCGGCATTGTTTTTCCGAATTTTGAAGACGGAATGAGATTTCGTGGAAATTCTTTGAACCAGTTGAAGTTTGTTTAGGCGCGGACGTGTGAAATCGGTCGAAAAATTAAATGCCTTTTCATCTTCTTTTTCTTTTTGTTTCGCGGCCTTCCGAAAAAGATGGTCCGCCGCTCGTGTTCTTAGAAATATTTCTTCTGTTTATTTTCGGAGACGTTGGTAAGTCGCCGGTATACAGCCGGTTGCAAAACCATTTTTCTTTTTTTAAACTTTCGAATCTTTGCGCACCATCTAAATATCTCTCGCATGTATTCACTATCAATTTACTTTATGCAAGCCTCAATCCTGTCGCCTGCACGAAAACTGTAAAATATTGTTTTGTCTCGCTACCTATAAATCACCATTTCGATTCGTGTAAAATATAGAATTTCTGAAAAGTATCGGAATCGTGATAGATCGGCCGACAGTAACTTTCGAGCGTTGTAATTACATGCAGGATTCTGAAATCGTACAAAGTCATGAGAACAGATTTCGGCGTTAGAATCAGGACTCGGTTTCAGACATTGTCCAACAATTTTTATGGATCGTCAACATTGTACCTATGAGACATCGGTATCGGCTGTTTTCATAGGCTACGTATGAGTGAACGAAGAATTTTGTCAACGGCTCGTAATTCACGATCGCGTGTGTCGTCGCACGAGGAACAGGAAGAGAGAGAAATACGTTTGTCAACCGTGTGCGATAATCGTAGCCGACCTTCGCCGCTGTCGATGAATGGCGCGATGTTTTGGTTCGGGGATACCGGGAGATGTATCTGGTTTGTCAAACCGGTCGTAAGCTTTGTTGGTATTTATGGTAAAAACGATGACATGCCATCGATGGCCGCGTTCGTGATAGAAGCTCATTCTCTTTTTCTCTTTGTACTCTATATATTTACCCCGTCCACCCGTTCGGCGCGCACGAGCGCGGACGCCACCGATATACATTCTACCGCGTCTAATTAAGTACTTGCGTAAGTGCGATCAGGGCTTATATTTATCCAGTCGAACGCTATATCAGTGAATGCTTGTGCTCGGTACGCGATCGACCCATAAGAATGCTTTCCAATTTTAACTCGCTCGTTAGATCCGCTCTTTTTATGTCCTTCAAAAGCATTCCACGTTATCTCGCAACAGTGTTCCATAGAATTCGCTTGGTTATCATATTTCGATTCGCGATCGATTTCTTTTAGCAAATAAAGCTCCTTAGACATTGTATAATCGAACAGCGTTGTATGTATCTCGGTTGCGTGTGAGATTGCTTTACGTTTCTTTTTCACGTGCTAGTCACCGCGAGCTCGAGTGTATTCTTCCTGGGAGAGCTGTTTTTTTCATTCTCCCTTTTCGTTTCTTTCTTTCGGGATCCCTGTCTCTTCGTGTTCTTCTCACATCGCCTCGCGGTCTTCTTCCCTCTTCGTCCAACATGCCTCGAAAGGCACCCGTTGAAAGAAGAGAAAACCAGCGGCAACAGTACTCGACGGGCGTACAACAAACTCTAAATCTAGATCCACTCTTTTAGAAGTGTCTAGCTTCTTCGTCTGCGTTTCAGCATCGCCGTTTGTACGAACGGGACCACAACACGTATTTCTTCCCGATTGTGCATAACTCACTGTCCGACCTTCGTCCATTTGAAAATTCATAGTTCTCTCAGGTTTTAAACCCGATGTCCACTTGTATCATATCGCCGTTCCATATCAAAATTTACTTTTATTATTACTGCACGGTATCATTAGATGATACGCTGATACGATACAACTGAATACCGTGCTGATACGACGCGCGTATTGGGACGCGTTGAAATTATGCAGCATAACGGGTTAGCACGGTGCCCGAAGGGTTGTCCGTGGAAAATTGTTTTGTGACGAAATAACGCCGGTTGTATCCGTAAATAGTCGGCGGCGGCCATTCCCGTTCCGAGAATAGCGCTCCAGCGCGCCAAAAATGAGAATTCCTCATCGAGGTCCGTACACCGAACGCGTGTTACCTCTAACCTGCTCGGTTTTACGATGTGTAATGAGAGAGACACTCCCGTAGGTAAACGTTCTTCGATCGCGAAACACTGCATTTCTGTTTTACGTTTTTTCGGAAAAAAAACAGCTAGGACTATACATTAGTATGTCGAATAGATGGTATCAAGTGGTTGAAACGTTTTTGTACTTTCTCACCGGTTGCAAAAATGGAACTTTTTCCACCGTGAGTAAAGACAACGAAATTCGAAGATCGGGATGGACGGTAGTAGTATAATGGACGCACGGAAGAAGGCCGAGATCGTAAAACGATCCGCAGTCTCGATAGTGATGTTGGGGCGCTCCTCTCGTTCACGTGAGACGCGATCCTATATGTATAAGTTTTGCCCGGCTATACAATGTCTCGTGGGAAGGCTCTTCTCGCTCGTTCGCCGGCCGCCACTGTGTACGTGTTTACGCGCACCTGCAAGCATGTGCGCGGGCACACAGCTGCGGGCCATTGTCCATCGGTGGTCAAGAACTCCTCGTCGTCGAAGAATGGGACGACGAAGGAGAGTTAGGATGAAATGTTGACGCATCGTTATTCTGTTTACACTGGATACCGTCACTGGCGAAGAAAAATCACCCCCTCGAGGTTGCTACTTGAAGCGCGAATCACTACCCTTTACACACCCTCTTACGTAAAGGTCTTCGCGGAATAGTAACGTAAAGTGAAGACCTGTGTTGCGACAAAGTAACGTTTCATTCCTTCTGAATATCACAAAATTTCAATTTGTTTCACTGAAATCACTGGGGTTCTTAAAAGGTTTATTTGTACTATCGACGAGCTGGTCAAAATGAAGGTACATCGTATTGTACATAATATATTAATAAGTATTGTACATCTCTTTAAAAATTCGCTTCCAACTAATCCAACACGAGCACAGATATAAATTAATTAGGGACAACGACGAAACGTGTTTAAACGGTTCGTCAATAACGTAAATGGACCTTACTTCGAGCATAAGATTTTTACAGCACGATGAACGAATAGACGGAGAGCGTCGAGTCGCATAGCGTCCTATAGAAAGGGTTAATACGTTTACGACTGGTTTCAAGAGCACTTTCTTTTTTACTTTGGGCGAAAACGCCCCTCGTGTTTCGCAGCACGCGTGGCGAAATGTCCATCTGCGCCTCTAACCCCTCTCTCTCTCTCTCTCTCTCTGCGCCCCTTTTTTTTTCTCTCGCCGCGAGCTTCTCTGCTCGCGCCAGGAAAAAAGACCACGCTTTTTGTTAGGTCACTCGCTCGCGCGCGGATATCTGTGCTCCTCCTGGGAGACGTGCAGTGCACACGCTTGCGCAAAAACCCGTTCACACACGTGCTAGTCTGACGCGGCATGGCGTGTCCTCTTCGTCGTCAGGGCACGAGACGACCCCCGACATCGAGGGAGTGTTCGCCAAGTTTGTTTGTCGCCAAGGAGATTCGTCGTTTCTCTTATCGTTTCTCGACGGTTCGTGGAAACAAGTAAACACAGGGTGTAGAAAGTCACACTGGCGGTAGCAGATTTCCGACGAAACGATCCTCATTCCTTACTTTTCCTATTCCCTGTAATAATCTTACGCGATGCACTATAATCAATCTGAAATTCATTGCGTACTAATAAAGAATTTATAAAATTGTAATAGAATTTTAATGGAATTCGTTTGTTTCAGGTAAACGCCTCTGGGGTGTTCGAGTTGAAGCTGAAATCATTCGTGAACGAGTACGGAAAGGACAGCCTGGGCAAGTGCTGTTCAGGCAGCACTTCGAAGACCGGCGAATGCTCAGGCGTTTGTAAGACCAGGTTCAGGGTCTGCTTGAAACAATATCAAGTGAAGATCGACACGACGACACCGTGCACGTATGGCGACGTCGTCACACCCGTTCTCGGCGAGAACATTGTTAACCTAGGCCCGCACGTAACCATACCGAGTTTCACCAATCCCATCAGATTTCCGTTCGACTTCACGTGGCCGGTGAGTGTCTTACATGTAAAACCCTTCTACTTTAATCGTTTAGAATTATGGAGCAGAATAGTATTTGCTCAAATATTTAGTGCGTTTTGATATGATTAAGGATGTATAGATTGCGGGCTTTTATGCGAAGTAAAATTTAATTCGTGATGACAATTTGAAAAACGTAGCATAGATTGAGAATTCTTTTATTTTTCAATGAGAACGATGGTGTGTATTACACTTTTCATATTTTGTACTTTGCATATAAATGCAATCTAAGAGTATATTTGAATATTTGACATTACTGCGTCTATCGAGTTTTGTTGTTATTCTCGATTCTAGAAGCGCATTTAAAACGACTGCATGCATTTTAAATGACTTACGATCAATCGGGGGACAAGAAAACGGAAAAAACCCATCGACGCGAAACGGAGCTCCCAACGCGATCGGATAGATACGTGAAAAATCGTATGTGCGCAGCTCTCCGCTTCTGTTTCTTCGCATTTTTCCAACCGGTCGCATTTACATATCGCGTGCATGTGTCGCGCGAAAAAATGATCGTTAACGTAAGCGGAATTAAAAAATCAGCTACGTAACGAGTCACAGAAAAAATTAATTCTATGAGCCTAGCCTATTGGGCGCGATCATGTTTTTCACACGCGTTTCGTGCCTTGAACGTCGATTAGATAAAACGTTTCCCGTTCGTTATAAAGACTTCATTTCCACCAAGTAATCTTCCACGGAGATCATAATTTTTTTTTTCCTTCGCGTCACGCTACGTAAAAGTCGTTGCATTAAATGTGAATTTGCCTGGTTCGAGTGAACAATACGTTTGATGCAATAAAATTGAGAGCGAGATTAACTTACGATTGAATGGTAATTCGAGCTTCGTTATTTATGATTGTTTTTAATAGTTCGGGTTGCGTACAGACAGCTTTTAAGTTAAAGTAAATATACATATACTGCTGCATCTCTCCGGTTTGTGTACAGTTACTCGATTCTTTGCCTCGTGTTTCGTTCGCTTCCTCGATCTTCGTCGAAGAGATACGAGCGGTCGGCGAACGCGGCTCGCAGCTTTGATCCTTGTCTTGAATAATGAACGTACGCGGAAAATGAAGACTTCTTCGTTGACTTAGCCGACACGACAGGGAGGCATGCGCGAGCTCACGCAACAGTAAAAATCATCCGTTGTCTCAGCTCCTATCTTTTCACGCTCCTGGCAAATTAACCAGAGGCACGAGTTAAGTGTTTGCATTTCGTCCAATTTTACGTGTCAACTATTCTTGATGCACGGAGACACAGATATCAATTTAGAAAATGAAACCCAGATAATGATTCGTTTGCTCCTTTAACAATAACGATATGCATTTTACTTTTGATCTTAGATAATGCTACATGTTTTTATATTATCTATTGATGCAGTTCTTTTTTTTGCATAACACCCGCAGTCTGTCGATGCGTATCAAAGGTATTTAGAATAATTAACGCAGCCGTTAGTTTTATCTAAAGTGTTATGGCAAGGTCGTAAAGTTTCCGTTAGCTGCACAAGAAGATCCCACGCGCTTCCGTTTGGAATTGATAAGGGAAAATTGAAAAGTAAATTGGCTGATTAGTCGTCGCTTCAATTTCCTTGTTTCCAAAGCAGCTGCCACTCTTCCCAGGCAGTATTGCTTAAAAATCTTGCGAACACATTGCACCTGTCCGCGGCGCGCGCGTAACCGGTCGCTCGTGTCCACCAATTAACCACGCCATGTGGATTAAAAGGAAAAAGAAGAAATCGCGAACAAGTTTAAAAATTCAGATCCTTCCTGCTTCTTCCTCTCTTCTCGCGTCCTCCGAGGAATGGCAACCCGATCACATTAAAAACAAGCGTTTTCGGTGCGTGCGCCATGGCACGGGATCACCGAACGAGCGGCAGATGGTAGCAAGAACTGGCACGAGCAAATGGGACAGACGATGGCACTTGTCTCTCCCTCCTACTGTCCTTGCTACTGCTTGCTTGTTGTTGCTTCTGTAAGTTTTGATAAACGCAGAAACCGCAAAGTTTTCAAGTCCAATGATGCACGTAAATCGACGTGAGTCAATAAGAATAATTATGTGCAATGATTAATTATTGCTTGACCTCATCAATCAATAAATTTTATATTTAAAAAATTATTTATTAAATGAATGAATTTTTGTACTTTGATAAATTAATACTTCCAAGACTGTTTAGTAAATATTGGTTTATTTCATATTATTTTATGACAGCGTTAGATTTTGTATTGCTTTATAAAATACAGAACGCGTGGTAGCATATATTAATTAAGTTTCTACGCCAATGTTTGGCCACCGTCCCTGGTGTACGTCAGTCCTCCCGTCGCTTTTCGCGTACTTGTGCCTATGAGACGCACTGCAGGGCCACTGGCAGATGGCTAGGCCTTTTGTGCTTCTACACTTCCCTCGTAATCTCTCTCCAGGTCTCTCTCTCTCTCTCCCTCTTGGGACCAGTCTGTTCACCGTCCTCGTCTTCGAGGCTCTCTCGCGGTCCGAGTTAAATTTACTAACCCATATGGCGTTCCTCGCGCCACCTCAGCACCAGTACCCTCCGCCTGGCTTCAAAAATCCCCGACGGCTACCGTTTCTTCGTTTCCCATCGCTTTACGAAAATCCGCGTCGATCTTACTCATTCTGTTCATCAAATCCCGGGTCAGTTTATTTTCTCATCCAGTAGATCTTTTCCTCGACCGATCCGGTTGTTGATCTGTTCTCTGTCCACTGGTACTTTCGACGCCGGTATCGAGGGCCGATATTACAAGCTATATCGAGCCGGCGAAAGGCTGCGCCAAGACAGGAACTCTTCTCTGGGAAGAAAAAAAAAAAGCGGTAGACGTTCTCGGAAGAGAAACTGGCAGGAATCCTGCATGTGGCAGAAGCGAACCTTTGAATCGGCGCGAGGTAGCCGTGCTCTCTCGTGCGTTGCTGCGACGCCGAGGAAAAGGAATACACATAGGCGGCGTCGTGACGTGTAATCGCTGTTCAGAGTGCCAGATTTATTTTCGTTGAAGTCGGTGCGCGAGAATGAGCTCCCACGTCTGGTAAAAATTGAGGACCCTTGCTTACGTGCATCATCTCCACAGACGTCGAATCTGTACTAAACCGCCGCCTACTGCGAATAGACTAGTTTGTTAATCACTGTCAGCAGTCTGCGGAATTTGATGCAGAGTTAAGATTTCTCGATACCAGTATTTTAAAATGCCCGATCTGTTTAATATTTTATAGTAGGACAGTGATAACGTGGAGTTAAAGTTTTGCTTGATGATCTTCAGATATCTTTAATCTCCCACGAGACATGCGAAATCTTTCATTAGCCTGAACGAGTCCGGCACCGGAAACAAGTTAATTACAGGTGTTAGTGAGAACCTCGGTGCACAGGAGAAAACGCAACAATGTACTATTTATAACAGTTTGTCGGAGCTGCGTGGCATTTTTCGTTCGACATGAATCCTCGCGAGTTTCCACGGCACGACGCGATCGGCACGGCGGCGTGCTGGATTCCTTTTCTTGATTACGTTGCGTGTCGGCCGATGAACGGGAGATAAAGGAGGCAAGGATTACCGAAAGTTAGTCGGGGAACGTCGAGGTAGAACATTGCCCGGTTGCGCAAACGTTGTTTGTCTGGGGTACGCGTGTCTGCCGTTAATTAAGAGACTGGAAAAGACAGAAGAGGCACCGTGCCTGATACACGTAAACGTAACCTTCGCCTGGTCGCATCAAGATCGAGAGTCAAGCTCTTTTCCCGTCCTTCTCCTCGGGTTAATTGCTCCACGTTGCGCGCACCGCGCGCTGTTAGTTGCGAGACTTATTAAAACAGCACGATCTACTCGCGACAGTGCGGCTACTGTGCGAGAACTCGCTCGTTTTTCTCGGAATTTCACTAACCGTTTCGATTCCTAATTACAATACTCGAATTTTTGAAAAATCAATCACACCGTCCGATATTCGTGGATGAGATAATAAATAATTCGAAACGCCGAATTCTGTGCACGTTCTTCACGTGTCAACTAACAATTAGAAAGTCGCACGGGTTTTGTATGAACGGTTTCGAAAAATTTTATTTATTACTTCTTATCCTGTAATTTCTTACCGGCGGTTTTTTACGGTAACGCGAAGCTCATTGTCGCGCTCACAAAGATGATCGGGCTTTTCGGGGAACGATTAAAAAATTCCTTTCTCTCCCTTACATCCTTCCTGTGTCCGCGGTCCACAAAGCGAACAGGGCATCGTACATACTCGAGGATCGTGGGTACCGAACAGGTAGGGGGGGACAGAAGGAGAGAGAAAAACGTGGAGCGAGGAAAAGGTAGAAAGGAAACGAATGAAAGGCTCGCGACGGAAAGAGACGACCGAAGATAGAGACGGAGAGGAAGCATGTAGGTGACACACACATATACGTTCGCACGTGAGGTCCAGTCGAAGGTAGGGAAACCGACGAGCAGGAGAGAAAGGTGGGACCGAAAGAGACGGAGGATCGTGGTCCCACGGCCGAAAAGGCTGCGTGATTCGCGTCCCAGACGAAGGAACACGCGGAGAAGGGCGTCGGATGAATGGCTGACTCGGGTGTATATACGCCGATGCGCGGCTTCCACGACGTGAAACGTTTAGCATAAATTACGACTTAGACAGAGGGAGTGAGGCAGTGGACTATGTGCCGGCTGACCGATACTCCGTATATGTATACCAGAGTCAACGCCGCGCGGTTTTTGTCGCTTGCCGGAGACACTCCAGGGATTCGGTGAAAGTTTCGCAAGTTCTTCAGCGAGAAAACGTTGACAATTTCGTTAGAAAAAGGTCGATGCTTCCTCTTCTGAGAAAACTGTGTACTCTCACTGGATACGCTCGAGTTGATCATTTGGTGAACCGATTCTTCAAGTAATAAGGGATAACTATTAATTCTGCATCGCTCGCGGCACGATTTGAATAACCGTATCGTCGCATGTTATTAGCAGATGAGTTTGAGCACGTTTGTAATCATTAGCCGG